TTAATTTTTTATGTAAAGTTGAGGTGACAGTTTCTACCACATGAATCCACGGCCGTCCTAGCAGGCAAGTATATGTTGGTTCTATATCTATCATGTGGAAGGTAATATAGAAAGTATGCAGCCCAATTTATATGGGAAGGTCGACCTCTCCAAACACCGTGCTTTGTGTACCATCGAAGGCCTTAATCACCATGGAACTTGGTCTTATGACTATGTCATCGTGTAGCAGTAAAATTGAGACTAAGCCATCAATTGACTTAACACACAAAGTGAAAGTCGCCATCGAACTTATTGTTCCAAAAGGAATGGGAAAAGACCGAATAAACCCAAATAAAATGGAGATCAAGGTACGGCGGTCGATTATGCAAAGGGAATATATTAACACCCTAAACATTCGTTGTACTCAACGAGATCCACTATTTTTGTTCTAATCAAAATGGGTGTTATCTAAAGCTTGAACTTGCTAAGGGAAAATGCACAAATGAAATTATTTACAAAAAAAGAAAGTTTTTTATTAATGCGCCCGACGCAATTGTGAACCTTTGTGCCTAGTACCCCCTACGTGCAATAATGGATATGGGCACTCGTAGTTCTTCTCAAAAAATTTGGTTTGTTGTGTGTTTTTTATGAACGATGTTAATTTCGCATTCTACTGAAGCTCGACCTTTAGAGACTCACGCAATTGTCATAGAAAGGAATTAACATGTTCTTTATGAAAAGGTTTTTAAAAGAAAAGTCTGAAGGCAAAAATGTTTGAATTGGTTGAGTATTTTTTGTTGGGATAATAGCAAATGAATCCCACTAGTGGGACACTTACTATTTCTCCGCTTATTTGCAAAAAGAGTTTGCGATTTGAATCGTAATAAAGTCCAAAAATGGAAGAAAGAACAAGGTTTAATCTGTACCGCCTCATCCTATTCCATAAGACTCAACTGCATACGATCTGCATCTTTATACATTAAGTATTTTAAGTTTTCGTTAAGAAAATATATTTTTGTTTTAGATGGATGCAAAAGAGAGGGAAAAAATATAGGAAAAACTCATGTCCTAGTTGTTGTCATGCAATGATGACCCTAAAATTAGGATAAAGAGAATTCTACCTAAAATTATCATGCTTGAATTTAGAGCCTAAAATCTATTTAATTCAATTTAATCAAAGGATCAAAATTAAATTAAAAAATCTAAGGGAGTATAGCAATATCACATGAACAACAATAGTAATCAGCAAGCATAATAGGCAACAAGCATTACTCAAAGCAATATCAAGAAATGTGTATCCTAAAACATATGGCAAAACGATCCCAAAAAAAACACGAGAATTAGGAAAAGATAAAATCCAATAAAATATAAAAAGAAAGTCCTAAAATCTATGTATTTTTTAATTCTTTTATATCATGTATTTTTTCACTATTTTTATTAAGGAAGTTGGAAGAAAATTAAGCTAAAAGAAAAACTAAATCGAAAAGAAATTAGGAGAGTTAGGGGGGATGTGAAGCTGAATCAGAGAGTGTTGAGTAGCAACTGGGCACAGAGGCCCAACAGTGAGGTCCAGAATCAGTTTTTTTGTTCGGCAGCTTCAGGATTCCAAAAGATGAAAATTGCGTTGACTCATATTGGGGTGTAGAGAGCAATAAGGCGCCAGGCCCAATTGATTTCGGTCCAATAACACAATATCTCCAATCAGATTTATATTTTCATTTTTTACATTTTATATTAATTAAAAAAACAATAAAAGAAAATTTGGGAAAGAACCACAGATACTCCTCTCTCAATCTCAAACGCAGCGCCGCGGTGGCTTCCTCCCCCAATTCCGCTGATCTTGTTCTTCCTCCGCCTTCATGGCTAGATTCGTTTCGCAACGTCTTGTCTTAACGCCGTTCTCCTTCAAATCCGTGTCACAGCCTCCGTCTCAATTTCGTCACATCGCGACTTCGATTCAAAACTCCGAAAACTCACAAGAAATTCGGAAAAAAGAGACGGCACAGAAACTTAGCTCTAAAATGCGTTTGAAATGCGAAGCGATTCTGTCATTGTGAATTTTATGCACACAGAAGTTCAATCAACATCACAGTAGATGCAATTAAACACAAAGGTAATGAAAAGTGGAGATTCGAAGCTTACCGATCGGAGATGCTTCGATAGCACTTCAACAACGCCGATGACCTGAAAGCTCAGGTAAGCACTCGTACTCTTGTTCGTGCTTCTTCTCTTCTTCCTTTCGCTTCTTTGAGTCTTGCGCATTTTCTTTTTTCAATTCTTGTGTTGATGTTGAAGTTGGATGCTGCAGAACATTGATGAAGATTTGCAGAAGATTTAGGACGATGAAGATCCGCTATTGAAGGTAGCAGATGATTGAAACGGTTGTGAAGTTCTGCGATGACTGAAGCGTTCAAAGGTTCTGAAGGTGTGAGTGTGCTATTGATCGAAGGTTTTGCCGAGAGAGAAAGAAGATTCAAGGTTGAAAATAAAGATGAGGATTTTTGGTGTAGATTGAAGAGGGAAGCAGAAGGTTGATGAAGGAGTATGCGTGATGAAGATGGAAAAGAGAATTGGTGTTGTGAAACAACTGATTGAATAATATGAAATCAATGAAGTCGCCATCTAATTTTTTATTTTACAGAAAGGAAAATGTAAACATGGAGTAAAGAGCTCGGCTAAGGGAGTTCACACGTCAGTCCAGAAGTGAATTAACATGTTCTTTTGAAAGTTTGAAAGAAAGAAAAAGAGCCCGAAGGGGAAAAAGAGTTTGTATCGGTTGATATTTTTTACTTTGAAAAATGATTTGACAGTTTTTAGATGTTTTATGCATTTGCTAAGAAAAAAATTTTAGTTTTAAGGATGCAAAAAGAAAGAAAAACATCTAAGGGAGACTATCTAGTTCTATCCATACTGTTATCATACATTGATTGGTCTTAAGGTCGATGATGAAAAGGGGAAATCTCTACCTATGCTAACATGCATGGATACATATCAAAATGTCTAGTTCGAAAGCTACCTTAATCGAGCGATCATAAGGGAACATATAACGGTTCAAAGCCCAAGGGAACATGGCATATAAAAGGATGAAAAGAAAACAAGCAATCAACAAGCTTAAGAGAGCCCACAAGGGAAATCACTACCTAAGTTAGCATACCTAAAGCCTAAAGGCGAAGATAACTATCCTATAGGGAACATGTAAAAATCAAAGTTGTTATCTCAATTCTAATTGAGTGACACCATCGATCATTAACAAAGGAAAATGATAAAGTCCTAAGGGAGCATGCAAAGATCGAAGTCGTTATCTCAATTCTAATTTAGTGACATCATCGATCATTAACAAAGGAAAACGATAAAGTCCTAAGGGAGCATGCAAAGATCGAAGTCGTTTTCTCAATTCTAATAGAGTGACATCATCGATCGTAAACAAAGGAGGCAAACAACAAGCACAAACACAAATAAGTGCGGAATGTCAGTTACAGGTCTTTAAACAACGACTTCGATCGCACGCTCTTTATTTCTTACTTCTCATGATATCTAGAAAGCAGTAAAGTGCGAAAAGATAAACCAGAATCAAAATGATACCAAACGAACAAGAGTTCGTAGCACAGCGAGCAAAGCAGAGAAACTCGGACAAATTTGAGCAAGTTAGCATCAACAAACAAAGCAAGTCAGAAATCAGACATCCAACATAAGCCTCAAAGCATCAACGTGAAAATAAATCACAAGTGGTATGTATCAGACACAACCACACAATCATCATGCGTGAAAATACAAGCCAGACAAAACACGCAATAGTGCAAGTATACATCTTATAGAACGAGAGTCCAGATAAATCGTATCAGAAACGAACTTGTATCCCACAAATAAAGTGGAACACGAAGTAATCAAAACACAAGAAAAGTCGCATAGGAAGCGAATTTGTGTCCCACAAATAAAGTGGAACACGAAGCAATCAAATCACAATTGAAAGCTTTATCAAATTACCTTGCACAACTTAACAAACAAGTTAATGATAACAAGGAAAACGTAACTGAAGTTACACAATCAACTCACAACTCAAATCAAAGTAGAATCATGAAGAAAAGAAATCCGAGTAAGTCTCGGAACAACAACTTTAAAACTCGGGCAACAATGTCATCAACGCATGAAAGTGAGCAAAAGTCGCATTAAAAGCTATCAAACTTGTCAATAATAGTCCATAATAAGCACATAAGAATCGGAGCTAGCAAAGATAATTGGGAAAATGCTTCAATTCTCAATCCAAAAATTATCAAATCAAAACACACATTATGTAAACGTCAGCCTCTGATCATGGCCCAAAGATCGGCCCAAAATAGTGTTCGACAATTGATAAATGCAAGCCTTGATCAAGCAGTGACCAATTAGAACAATTTTACAAAAAGGATTTAAAAGAAAATGCAAGTCAACTTGAAAAAATGAGGAAAAATATTCTATACTCCCTAACACAATATGGAATTAGAAAAATATTTTTGTGAATTTTATTTGCTAAGAAACGACCGAAATTTGGAACAAACCGCACAAGTGAACGCATACGCGTCGCCTTTTGAACACATTAGCAAAAAGAATTTAAACGAGAATGAAAATTAATTAAGAAAAATCTACAAAAATGTCTAAATATTCTTAAGACACTAAAGAGTCAGAAATATATTTTTTTAGATTCTTTATACGCCAGAAAAGTCAAAATCATGGGCTAAATGAAGCAAGATACCAAAGGTTGTGTACACAAGACTGGGAGTGTAAAAGTGATTGTCAGATTTGAACTAAAACAAGTTATATGGATCTAAAGGCCCAATAACCATGGGAGTGCATATAGAAATTCGCTAGGCCCAACCCCTATCAATCCATAATCTCATCTTCATTTTATTATAAGTATTATTTCTAATTTAATATGTGACCAAAAATCATGTGATATTGTATCAATTGATCGAGTTCATTTAAATTATTAACAAAAGAAAAAAAAACTCCCATAACCAATCACCAACTGGCATCCATTATTACATTCATTTGAATAAAATGTATATGAAAATATTGTGAATTTGCACACCTAGTGTTGTAGGAGGAGCCATCGAATCTGAACCTCGACGGAAATACATCAAATCTACCCTACTGACTCGTTTGCTTGCGTAAATCACGGATTCAGGCTCTATTTTATGTAAAACTAACTCATACATCAAGAAACCATGGAATGAAACAAGATCTAAAAAATTATCTCTGCATATATTCGAAGCTACCAAGCATATAACGCCTAACTCTAATGCCCATGCTTCCATAGGTCTTCCAGATGCGATTTAAACTACATGATTTCTATCATATACAGTCTAAGCATGTGGTGTACAGTTGAGAGTACTTACGAGACGTAGTTCTCACTTGAAATCAAAAGAAAACTCCTCAAGGACCATTCCCCAATCCTTAGATGATGGATAACGCACTGGTAGCTTGAACCTTGGAGAAATAAACTCAAAGATAATCTCCAAATCTTGAAGAATAAGGTGACGACGGGTTTGACGCAGTGTTCGCTCCAGCTAAATGATGATACCAAGATAGGCTTCTTCTGGCGATGAAGAAGAAGAAGAATCAAGCCATGAAATATGAGGAACTGGCTTGGGTTCAGAGAGAATCGAGAGATAATACGGCGAAAGAAAATAAAGCTTCCGTTATCATTGAGAGAGAGTGATTTTGTTGGTTATGGTGTGAGAGAAGATAGGTTGAAGATGATGGAAGTGAAAGAGAGAGAATGAGGTTGTAGAAGAATGGAGAAGAGAGAGTTTGTTAGGATTTTTTAATTGAAAATGGTGATTTTTGTAACTGAATCGTAACAAGAAAATGGTGATGGATTCATACTTGTGAGCTTAGATGCGTGAACTTCTGTTCTCATTCTCTCAAGCTTGTTGAGTAAAAAATGAAGAGAGCGAGAATAGAGAGTGTGGTCCACGAGTACTGCAGTGCAAGGAGTGTTGTTCTCATTTTTTGATTCAATGCAGAATCTCCATTGCAACTTATGGTGTGCCCCATTTAGACTTAGCTAATAAGTTTTATCATTTCATTTTAAGCAAAATCTCACAACTATGCATGCATAATGAGTTATTACATGTCTAAATTGAGTAAAAACCCGCGACATGCTCATATTGCAGCTTTATATCCAAATGATATGTCAACCTATGCGGCCTGATATGAAAATCCAGCCAAGTACACTACCGGATCCGTGGCCATGATGCCCTCTTTGTGATCTTCTATCTTCATAATCAAGCACCCAAACATCACAAGTTTGGTACCCATTTCAAGATGGAAATTGATAGAGTAGTCTTGTTATTGGGAGACTTATGAATAAAAACCCATATCATTATGCAAATCCTCGCTCAAGTCATGCCTCGACCCTCCGAGCGAACTCTCCAGAATTCCACAGTGTCATTTAATCGAACACCTTGCAGTCACTACTTCATGACCTTATATCTTCTAATCCCTTGGGAATTTTTCCTCGGTTCCTTCTACAAAAGGGTAGGTTGTAACAACCTAAACAACTTTGTAATTACATTTTTCTTGAATCGAAGCTTAGAATCACATGAAAATGTAGCTCAAAGTCAGTTATTTGATCATATTAAAATACTTAGTAGAATTCTGAAATTACTTGAAATGGTTCTAACTTGAGATAACAACTTCATCCACTTATAACTTTTGATCCAATGCCCAAATGAATTTGATTCCTTCTACAAAGATGTAGATTGTAGAAATTTGAACAACTTTGTAATTGAGCCCATCCTGAAATGATGCCTAGATCATCATGAATTTTTTCTTAGAGTCAGGCACCTGAACACTCTAAAAATTCTGCAATTTCAATAAGTGTCAAACATTCCATCTTTTATGAACAAAATCCAGGCACTTTTTGGAGATAGGTCCTCAAGGACAAAAATAAAATATGAAATGTCCTCTTTGTAATGATCATAAATTTGCAAAATTTCAACCATGAATGAAGGAGATAGAGAGTTTACAAGATGGCATTATGAACACAAATGTTCTTAAAACTTTAAAAAATTTCTAAGTCCAAGATTACTTAAAATGCAAGAAATCTCAATTTTGACCAATTCTTTTGAATCTTCTCAACAAATGATCGCCTTTTCTCATATTTTAACTTTTGACAATAATCTTGACAAAAAATCCCATTTGGTCAACCTTTGACTTTTTGTTGACTTTTGCCCATACACACCCAAATCTCTTCTTATTCAACCAATCCTGATTTTTTGACAAAAATGTGAAGATTAATAAACCATATACTGATGCTTTAAGACAAATGGGAAACCATGAGATCATCTTATGCTTGAAAAATTAGTTAGATCATGGCATTGGTCAAAAAACCTAGTTTGCACAATCATTGATCTTTTGAACCTCAAATGCTTATTGAATGCAAAAGTACGTTATGTTAGTGACCTAATGGAATATATGTAGATGAATGCAAAAGCCTAAGCCAGCTAACAGAAATTCGGAGGGAAAATTTTAGGGTGAAACAACTGCCCCTATTCAATCTTCTTTGACCAGAGGGTGAGATTGGCGCAAGCCTTTTGAACAATCATGGTAAAAGAGGATTGAATATTTAATAGAACTGTAAAATTTACGCTCTGAAGACAATTGAGTATTATTATATTTTGGAGTTTTTTGTATCTTCTATTTTTTTTTGGTTAAAGTGGTTATCAGGGATAAATCTCTAGGATATCAGGTCAAGGTTAGAAACACAAAAGAGATATTGAATATCAGGAGCCATATGTTCAGAGCTAGTAGCGAACACAAATGACAAAGACTAACCGGGGGAAGCCCTATCAAAGATACCAATTAAATATGCCAGGAGGAAAGGACATGTACAAAAAATATCGAATAGACATGCCCAGAGCTGGTAGCGGACACAAGAAAGAGATTAAAAATACATGTTCGGGGTCGGTAGCAAACACATGCAAGAAAGATATCGAAAATACATATCAAGAGTCGGTAGAGGATACATACGAAAGAGACAAACTGGAGAATGCTCTAACAAAGATATCAACATGTCTAGAGTCAGTAACTGACACATAAGAAAGAGATATCGAAAATGTATATCCGGAGTCGGTAGCGGATACATACGAAAGATATCGAAGATATATGCCCAGAGTTGGTGGCAGGCATAAGGAAGATATTGGGTGCATATCAGAGAGAGACCGTTCAAAATAGACTCTAGCAGGGGAAAGAGATGATCAAATATGAAAGATACCTAACAAGGCAGACTCAATTGAAGATATCACAGATGGAAAAGATCTAACCAAGCGAACTCGACCAGAGATATCATGGGAGGAAGAAATTCAACACAACCATTTCAACCAAAGATATCAAAGAAAGAAGATACCTAACAAACCGGTTTCAACCAAAGATATCAAGAAGGAAGAAATCTAACACAGCGACTTCAACCAAAGATATCAAAGAAGGAAGAGACCTAACACATGGGACTCGACCGAAGATATTGAAGATTGAAGAGATCAAACAAAGAAATATCGACCAGATATCAAGGAAGGAATAAATCTAACACAGTGATTTCAACCAAAGATATCAAAGAGGGAACAAACCTAACAAAGTAGACTCAACCGACAATATCAAATATGGAAGATATCTAACAAAGCGAACTCGACCAGAGATATCAAGGGAGGAAGAAATCTAACATAAAGATTTCAACCAAAGATATCAAAGAAGGAAGAGACCTAACACAACGGACTCAGCTGAAGATATCAAAGAATTAAGAAATCTAACACAACGATTTCAACCAAAGATATCAAAGATGGGAGATACCTAACTAAGCGAATTCGACTGAAGATATCAAAGATGGAAAAGATCTAACAAAGTGATATCGACCAGACATCAAGGAAGGAAGAAATATAACACAACGATTTCAACCAATGATGTCAAAGAAGGAAGAGAACAATTTCAACCAAAGATATCAAAGATGGGAGATACCTAACTAAGCGAATTCGACCAAAGATATCAAAGATGGAAAAGATCTAACAAAGTGATCTCGACCAGACATCAAGGAAGGAAGAAATATAACACAACGATTTCAACCAATGATGTCAAAGAAGGAAGAGACCTAACACAACAAACTCAACCGAAGATATCAAAGATGGAAGAGATCTAACAAAGTAAACTCAACTAGAGATATCAAGGGAGGAAGAAATCTAACACAACAATTTCAACCAAAGATATCAAAGATGGGAGATACCTAACACAAATAACTCAACCGAAGATATTGAAGATGGAAGAGATCTAACAAAGTGGTCTCGACCAGATATCAAGGAAGGAAGAAATCTAACACAGTAAATTCAACCAAAGATGTCAAAGATGGGAGAGACCTAACATAACAGACTCAACCGAAGATATCTGAAATAGAAAAGATCTAATAAAGCGATCTCGACCAGATATCAAGGAAGAAATAAATCTAACACAATGATTTCAACCAAAGATATCAAAGAGATAAGAGACCTAACACAATGGACTCAACCGAAGATATCGAAATGGAAGAGATCTAAAAAATGAACTCCACCAGAGATATCAAGGGAGGAAGAAATCTAACACAACGATTTCAACCAAAGATATTAAAGATGGGAGAGAACTAACACAACAGACTCAACCTAATATATCGAAGATGGAAGAGATCTAACAAAGCAATCTCGACCAGATATCAAAGAAGGAAGAAATCTAACACATCGATTTCAAACAAAGATATCAAAGATGGGAGAGACCTAACACATCAGACTCAACTTAAGATATTTAAAATGGAAAATGTCTGACAAAGTGATCTCGACCAAAGCTATCAAAGATGGAATAAATCTAACACAACGATTTCAACCAAAGATATCAAATATGAGAGAGACCTAACACAGCGGACTCAACCGAAAATATCTGAAATGGAAGAGATCTAACAAAGCGATCTCGACCAAATCTATCAAGGGAGGAAGAAATCTAACACATCAATTTCAACCAAATATATCAAAGAGGGAAGATACCTAACTATAATATGGTGGGAGAACTGACTTTTTTGGTTTTATCGCAAATGTTGCGTTAAGCAAGAGTCACCACTGAATTTTCTTTTATCCAATATTTAGGAAAAGTGAAAAGAACAGGAAAAACCTTTGGTAGATTATGAGTTTGGGGGGTAAGTTATGTAAAGGGAAGTTGTTAGCACCCTTTTCATCCGTAGTTATCTACGGGCTCTTAATTGCTTAACACACTTTTAATTTTCTTTGTGTGTGTCTGATTTAAA